TTTTAAATCTTTTATTTTATTTGGTATATGGTCTTGTTACATGGTACCGGGGCTCAAACCCTGGGCCTTGTGATTGCCAGGCAGGCAGTCAGACCATCGAGCTATGTCTCCAGCCCCACCTATGGATATTTGAGGGACCCAATACCTGGGACATATTAAATATGGAAACGAAACAAAACTTGACACAGTATGTACCTGGCAACCTCAGTACTTGGGAGGCTAAAGCAGGATGATGAGTTGAAGACAACCCTGAGCCACAAAGTGAGATCCTGTCAACAAAATGAAACAGCCGCTGTGGGGTCCCACCCCTGCGGGCTCAGCGTGTGAGGGGCTGAGGCAAGAGGCCAGCTCTGAGTTTGAGGCCAGCCCAGGATACGAAGTGAGTTCAAGAGCAGCTTGCAGCTGACCCCCAACTTCCATCTCCTGCTCCCCAACTTTCTTTGATCCAGTCCATGGAGAATGAACCTAGGACCTTTGCACTCAGCTACATGCCCAGCTCTTTCTAGTTTTTTAAACATTTATTTGTTAGCTTATGTGTGGTGCCAGGGGTGATGATGAGGGGGGTGGTGGTAGTGGTTATTTATGTATTTAGTACAGGGACTAGAGGGTCTCACTACACAGATCGGACTCATAGTGATCCTCCTGTTTTCAGCCTTCAAAGTGCTGGGACTGGGGCCGGGAGATGGCTCAGTAGGATAAGCGCTTGGCTGGCAAACGCAAGGATCTGAGTTCAATCCCCGGTTCTGCCAAAACAAAACAAAAAAAAAGAAAACAAAGTGCTGGGATTACAGGCACATACCACCATGCCCAGTCTGGTGCTGGGGATTAAACAGAGGCACTTCACCCTTAGCTATGTCTGCCACTTTTATTTATTTTTATTATTGTTATTTTGTTTTTTTCTGAATCAGGATCTTGCTGTGTGGCTTAGGCTGGTATTGAATTCATAGAGACCCTCCTGCCTCAGCATCTTAAGTTTATCTTTTTTGGGGGGGGGGTCGGAATTGGGGATTGAACTCAGGCCCTTGCACTTGCCAGGCAAATGCTTCCACTACTGAACTATCTCTGCGCCCCCTATCTTTTATTTTTGAGACAGGGTCTCACTAGATTGACCAGGCTGGCCTTGAACTTACAATCCTCCTGCCTCAGTCTTTGGAGTCAGTGGCTTATGAGAATTTGTCACCACACCCAGTTTTTTTATTTTGAAAATGAATCTTGCAAAGTCTCTAGATTGCTCGTGCTGGGGTTGAGCTTGCACTCCTTCTGTCCCAGCCTCCTAGAGTGCTAGCACTTCGGAGTGCAACACTGTAGCTGGCTTCCATTTCTGCTTGATTTAGAAAACCCTAAGGAGGAGAAGCATCCGAGTTTGGGGTTCCCTGAGCTTGGTGATACCTCAGTTTCTTTGTCTTTGCAGAGCACCCTTACTAAGTGGAGGCAAACTCAGGGGTGTCTGTGACACCTCGTCACTTGCTGACATTACCCAAATTCCTGTCCGGAGGAGAAGGGGACTGGGGTGTGGCTCCATGGTAGGGTAGACGGGTGATGTGCTTGAGGCTCAGGCTTCGGTGCCCAGCACCGCATACAGAAATGAACAAGATAAGGAGGGGAGTTCCTCAGCCCCAAGCCCAGGCCTGTGCCCTGTGTCCATACTAAGCTCCAGGGCTACCTGGCACAGGTGGAGGTGGTATGGGGTCAGAGTGGCCAGGCTTTGGGGGAACGGAAGTTCTGCAGAGAGTCAGCTGCACCACCTGGCTCCTAGGGGTGAGGTCTTCAAGAAATCTTGGGGTGCCTCCTAGCAACAGCCAGGAGGAAGAAAGGGAGGGGCTTGGCCATGGCTGCTCAACAGGAACCCAGAGAACAGGCTGTTCCTGCTGCCTCCTTGGCAACCAGGATCGAAGCAGAGGGGAGGGGGACGCCAGACGGCTCCTCCTGGAGGGTCCCTAGTGGTGCTGCTTCTGTCCCAGTCTCACCCTCTGCACCCACCTTCAGTGCAGGGCCATCCTGCAGCAGGGGTGGGGGAAAGGGCAGCAGGGCTGGGGGTTACTTGGCGAGGAGGGAAGAGGAGCTGGGATGGACTAAATGGAAGGAAAGCAAAGTCCTTGGAAAACAGCCTGGCAGACTAATCAGGCTGGGAAGGGGCTGGTGCCACATGAGGACAGGGGCTGTCACCAGCCCCGCCCCCGGCTAGGGCCTGGCGTCAGCTGTGATGCCCGCTCCCTGGGCCCAGCTGAGTGCCCTTCACTTTGCCCTTGCCAGGGCTGTCAGAGGGCAACACTGGGACCCCAAGAGAGAGGGCAAAGGAGGCGGAAGATGAGCACGGCAAACGCTGCCTTTGAGTTTGAGATGCCTCATCTGCCCCTGCTGGGGGCTGGAGGAGTGGATCTGGCGGTCCTGCATGGTCCAGCTCTGACTTTAGGATTTCTTTTCGGAGTCATCTCAGAAAGTCTCCCCACACATACACACTACGGAGCACCTTGCATCAGAGACAGGTGTGGTCGCGGGATGGAGAGAGAAGAAACAATGACATCTTCATCCTCCACTTCTGGGTGGCACAGCCCTACCCCATCCAGGCTCCTGCTGGACCCCCTCGCCACTGCCCTCCCAGCTCCGAAGGGTGGAAGGAGACCAGAAATGTGCATCTCCAGCACCCAGATAGCTCCCAGTGCCTCAGGAAGCCCGACCCCAGGGATGATTTCCCTGCAGGGAGCAGCCTTGGCCCTGCAGCCATGATCCCCGGGGCTGCAGCCAACCCAGCTCCCAGATGAGGCAGCATCTGCTGGCAGGTGGCCGAGCAGCATGCACCTCCCACTGCACACACAGCCCTGGCTGCAGCTGCAGCGCCCCCCCCCCACACTGCAGCTGTTGCATGTCTGCTGCAGGCAGGCCCAGGCGGAAGTCAGGTTCCCTGGTTGCGTGCTGACTCTGCACTTTACAGGTTCCCCTCCACAACGTCCCTGCACACCCCGTGCATTTCACCCCAGCTGCTCCTCTCATTCTAGTGATCTTGGGGACTCCCCATGGGAGAGGTCCCTGCTGCTCCCCTAGGCACTGCACAGCCCTGAGTGAGCCCCAGGATACAAGGGCAGCCTAACTTGGGGAGAATGCAAGTGGGATCTTCACTCCACTGAAGTGATTGTGTCAGGAGTTAGTACAGTGGTACACACACACACACACACACACACACACCTCCCCAGGAGCAGACCAGAGGCTGGGCCCGCCCTGGCAGCCGTGGGAAGGCTGTGGCCCCTGCTGGTAAAACTGGGCTAATGACAGCAGGGGAACCGGCGGGGCCAGAGGGGGGTGCTAGGGTAATTAGACCTCTGTCTGACTAGGAGATCCCGAGATGAAAGGGGCTCCAGCGTCACTGGCATGTTTTATGTCTCTGAACGCAGGTGTGTGTGAGCGCCCGTGCGTGCGTGCAGAGGGCTGCGCCTCGAGAGGAGTTCTTCGTTTAATAGAAGGGGTCTTTTTTGGTTTGGTGTTTTTGAGACAGCATCTCGCTGCCAGGTAGTTCAGGCTGGCCTTGAGCTCTGTAGCCTCAAACGATGATCTTCCTGCCTCAGCTTCCCCGGTGCTAGGGTTACAGGCACGTGCCAACGCCATACAAGGCTTGAATTCAGGGCCTTTTGTGTGCCATCCCCTTCTCCTCAGCTTGGCCCTGATATCCTCTGGATTTCAGTGCGGCCCAGCTGGGAGGAAACGCACCCTAGTGAAGCTGGCAGATGAGGGGTAAGGCAAGTCCCCTCCCCAGAGCTCACAGGGGGGGCAGAATGCTGGGAAAATGGCTGGTGACAGCGAGTAGAGCAGGAAGAGTCTGTAGGGAGGCGGGGTGAGGTTTGAAAAGGAGACGGTGGACGGGGTGTGGATGCTGAGTGGGGAGCGGGCAACAGGGAAGAAGCCCCACAAGGATTAAAAGCACAAAACCACTGGCGTCAAGCAGACCTCCCCTGCCACTTGCTGGCCCTGGCCGGGTGGCCCAGCAAGCTCTACCCGGGGCGGAGAGTGGTGGGGATACGTTCAAGGTCACGCCGCGAGTTCCTGGCACAGAAGAGACCCGAACTCCGAACCGAACTCCACACCTCCGAGCGCTCGGCATCTGGCGCTGCTCCAGGTCTGGAAGGTGCGGAGGGCTCCCCATCCCTCTCCCCCCAGGGCGCAGCCCCCAGCACGCCCCCACGCGCCCTGCAAGCCCAGACTGGCTTTGAGGCGACACTCTCCGAGCGCGCCCCCCGCCCCATGCGCGCCG